AGGGCGGCCAGGACCTGGCCGTGCTTTGTCCTGTCGTCTGTAGGGCCGAGGTGCATGGGAGTGGGCTCCACAACACGTAACGACAACGCCCACAACAGCAACAGGTGGGCGAACAGATGTCGGGGGGCTTACAGACTCCGACAGCTGAGGATGGGAGAAGGGCCCGGTGAGCCACTTTTCAAAATCAGCCACTGGGAACCCTAAGGTTCACAAAGGTCCTGTCCCCTACCCCGGGTCGTGGGGCTGAGGGGGTGCGGGCAGTGTTTCGTTGGTCTATGGTGCACAGGGGTGGGGTGAGTTTGGATGGACGCAACAGTAGTGAACAGCATTATTCATGCCGGGAACCCCTGACTGCCGAGCAGCCAGCCCCAGCCGGGGCTCCACGCACGCACGCAGACAGTGGTCAGGACCTTGCCCTGCCCTGGAGCCTCTCTCTGCGCTTGGACCTCATCTCCCCCTGCTCTGACCTCGTGCATGGCCCCTTCTGACTCCATGCCAGGCCCGAGGCAGATGCAGCCCCCTCCCACGGCCATTGTTGACTTCTGGGAAACCCCAGAATTCCTTCCCCCCCGTGTGAGTGTCTGTGCCTGAGAGACTTCCTGAACTTCTATCTAAAAGTCTCTGAGGGCAGGGGAACTTCTAGAAAGTTCACCAAGCTTCCAGGAATTGCTGGGCTAGTAGGAAAAGGGTGACATGTAGACAGCTTTGCCAAGTGACCGGTAGTGAACGGGTCCATTTAGCTGCATGCCTGCAAAGACCAAACAAAACATAGTTACACTTGACACATCATTCCTCTTTGTTTTTCTGAAGTAGACCACGTGCTGCTAAAAATTGAAAATACCAGGAAACATCCCGTTGCCAAGCAGTATATTGAACTAGAACAATTCGGAGTGGGCTTTCCGCCCCCTCACAGGTGGCCTCTCAGCCAGGCCTCCTGCAGCGGGGAATAGGGAAGGGGCTCTGGCCCTTTAAGAACCCTGTGGGGTGAGTATGACAATTTACCCAAACTATTAAACTCGTAAGTGTTTTATCAACCATGCTGTTCTTATTAAGACCCATTATCAGCACCAGCTTGCCTCTTTCTCACTGTCTGCTCCACACCTTCAAGGGCTCGGCATGGCCTTCACTCCCTCCCCGAAATAACACAGTCAGCTCTTCGGCCGTCTGCCCCTAACATCCCCTGCCCACTGAGTCATCGCTGTAGGGAGCTGGGGTTGGTGAGGGCTCCTGTGGAGCCCACATGCGATTCTCATTGAGAGCACCCCTGACTGCCAACCCTGGGCATCTGAGGGGGTGAGTAAGGCAGGGGTAAGTGTTGGCGGGACCCGAGAGTTTGAGTTTGCCTTGGGAGGGAGGAGCCTCAGGAGGCTCTTTGAGCCAAATGGCTTGGCATTGGCAGAACCAGTCAGCGTGGCAGGTTTATGGGGTGGAGGTGGAGGAGCCTGTGTAAACACCTGGAAATCTCCTTCTTCTCTTCCACCCTGCTCCCCAGCTCACACATCTATACACACAGCACACACCCATGCGTATATACATACAGACACACATACACGCAATACACGCACATGCACATTGCACATAATGCACACGCACTTACATCCTTGCATATATACATCTTTACACACACACAAGGGTAAGTCAAAAAGTATTGCTAATAGAGTCCTAGTTCCCACATACCAAAACCAAACAAACAAACACAAATACAAACATGAAACCCACTGCCACTGACTTGGTTCCAACTCCTTGTTACTGAGAGGGTTACTGAGAGTGCCAATCCTTATGGCAGCAGACAGCCTCCTCTTTTCACAAGGAGCAGTTGGTGGGTTTGAACTGACAACCTGGCAGTTAGCCCAATGCTTAGCTCACAGCATTATCAGGGCCCCATGGATTTTTCTAAACTAAGCGTGTTTAAACATGTCTTTGTGGTCAGTGGATGGCCATGGACACGCTTCCTCCATTGTCTTAATCTCCTCAGGGGGCCTTAAAATGAAAGGCCCCATCAGAACAGTGGCCCCCAAGGGGATCTGCTGAGCTGGTTAAATGCAAGGCCGCAAGGTGAGCTCAGAAGATTACTGTTCTGTTTTTTTAGATTACAGAGGGTCACCCTGCTAGAATTTCTCAGAGCACTCCGACTGATCAAGGGTTGGGCATGGTTTCCATTGAAGAGTACAGAATTCTTTGGCGTAGGTTTGTTTTGCGTCATTTTGATCTTCAAAAATCTATTGCATCAAAACCTATATCTCCCAAAACGATGTGTATAGACTTAGACGGAGGCTATGTCAAGAAACTATAGCTTGACATTTTGGTGTGTGTGTGCTTCATAAAGGGTTTTATGATGGTGTAGCCATACTTTGGGGCTTCCCCATGCACATCAGCAAGTGTGGACACACTCTCATACATAAACAAGCACACACAGCGGCAGCCCGTCTTCCTCCCTTCTCCGGCCTGCTGTCAAAGAGAAGAGCGTGTACCTCTTCCTCAGGAACAGCCTCTGCCTCGCAGAAGAGTACTCCCAGAAGCCCTGGATCCATCTTGCCTCAGAATATGCCCGAAGCCTATGATAGTTGTCCCTGGTTCTGACATAGGCTTGGGCTGGGAGAAGGAAACTCTGTCACTACTCTGGGTCCTTCCTCATCCATCCTGTCCCCACCTCCTTCCCATCTCTCATTTCACTTCCCTTGTCCTTTGCTCCTCACCCTCCAGGCCCCATAACCTCACCACTCCCTCTGCTTTCCTCCAATGCAGAATGCAGCCGCTCTAGGCTGACTCCCTAAACCTCAGTGACCCTGTAGATTTCTCAGCATGGGCTCTAGGAAGTCCAGACTTCCTCTGCATCCCTCTCAGGCCTTACTGCTTTCCAGAGTTCAGACAGCGGCCTCTGTTTGCACTTACCTCTGCCAGGTGTCCCCCTAACAGCACCTGCCTCCAGCGCTCCCCTCTCTCTCTTCCCTACACTTGCATTACACGTTGCAAGCATGTGCTTTGATATAATGCAGGCATCCTGATCGCACAGCAGGTTAAGCATTGGATCACTAACTATAAGGCTGGTGGTTCAAACCACCATCAGTCACTCCATGGGAGAAAGATGAGGTGGTCTGCTCCCATGGAGATGAGGGCGGTCCCTGCCCAGGATGACTGAGCCTTGAGGCTTGCTGCTCTGTGTTTGCATGAGCACATAGACCGTGGTCCTCTCGGGAACCCACAGGGACAGGTCTACTCTGTCCCTAGGAGTCACAATTGCCTTGCAGCAATTCATTCCAAAAGTCAGCTCTTGGGGTTGACTGCTATAAGGCCCGAGAGGGTAAGGGCTTCAAGGTTTCTGTGAAAATTAAAGTGAGATGGTACAAGTGTTGGGGATAATGGGTTGCCCGAGTCTCTTCAACAGATCTAAAAGCTTGCCTGAAGGACTCATCTTTTTTGTTCTTTTAATATATATATATCATTTTTTGGCATGTACGGCTCTTATAACCATACATCCATTGTATCAAGGACATTTGTACCTCTGTGGCCATCATCATTTCCAAAACATTTTTGTTCTACATGAGCCCTGGGTATCAGCTCCTCTTGTCTCCCCACTCTTCCTGGGAACCCCACAGGGAATTGGGCACATTGTACAAGGGGTACCTTGGGGATTTGGGGTATGAGTGAGAGGAGGAGTCCAGGGTGCACTTGGCTTGCCTTGTTGAGCTCCCTGGAACAGAACCGTGTCTGTCCAGAGAGGGGTGCCCTGCTCTTAGCCATACAAAGGCCAGGCTGGCTGTGGGACTGTTCCCAAGGCCTGGGCTCTGCACCCTGCAGGGGCTGCTCAGTCAGTCTGTGGAGCCCGCCTCACTCCTGGTGGAGCTGGCCAGCCCATGGGGCTCCACACCTCTCCAGCCTGCCTTGGTTCGTGGCTCAGTGGCCTGTGGTCACCCGTTTGTTTCTCAGAGGCCGTTCTCTGGAACTTTTACCATCAAGGTGAGAAAGGTCAGACGCAGTGGCTCTACCGTCGGATTCCAGCTCGTAGGCTGGCCCATGAAGGGAAAGGAAGGGAATTGGAAAGTTGTGTTTGTGACGCCGTTGGTGGAGGCTCCACAATCACGAGATGAAGAACGTCAGCAGAGTGTGGTGCCTGCGAGAGAATGAACTGTGTTGCCCCCAGAAAGGTATGTCGAAGCTCGCTCTCCATGAGAATGTGACCTAGTTTGGGAGAAAGGATTTTTTTATTGTTGTTGTCATCATCCGTGAAATGCAACAAGATCCTACTGGAGTAGGGAGGGTGGGTCCTAGTCCTAATCCGTTCGAAGGGATGCTTTATACAAGAGGAGAACAGATGTGGAGACAGAGCCATCCACGGGGGGGAGCTGTAGGAAGATACAGCCACAAGCAAAGGACCGCGGGGGATTGCTGGCAGCCTCTAGGAACCAGGAGAGCAGCTGGGACAATTCTCTCAAAGTGCCCTGAAGCCGTCAGCAGGACCATGATCCTGACTTGGACTTCTGACCTCCAGCACAGTGAGAAAAGATCTCCTGTCTTTAATGCCACCTGTTGCATGGTATCTTGTTATGACGGCCCTAGGAGGTTCAGGGGGAGCCTGTTTTCTTGATGTGATAAGAAAGCGTCTTCAACTCACTCTGCACTTTTCCATGTCACGAAGATGTCTCCTGTCTCACAGGCTGCAACAGCAATGCCAACCGCTAACATTGATCGGGTCAATGTCAACAGCACAGGGTTATCCCTGGTATCCCACCTCTGAGACTCCTGGTGAGTGTATAATCAATGACACACGGGAAGCCAGAAAAGAAAACACCTCATTTCCGTCTTAAAGGAACGAAGGCATTTTATATTTTTTGGAAGAGCTGAAAGCACAGAGGGGCAGTCATCCCTTAGTGTTTAGGCACATGTTTCGCACTCAGAATCAGAGCAGTAGAGCTAAGAAGTGAGCTAAGGCGGAGTGCAGGGGAAGCCGAAGCCCCGGATGGGCATCCAAGGTGTCTTCTCAGCGAGGTGGTTGAGGTCCAGGGCCAGGTGCAGAGGCAGATCCAACTCATGGTACAGGCCGAGTCCGGACGCAGTGCTTCTAAAAGTCACACTCTGAAGCAGGGGAGAGGGGAGATGTGTCCGTGAGAGCAAATACTCCCTTTCCCTTTTAAACAATTGCAGACGCTTAATAAGCTATACCGATAGACACGAATGCCCTTTTGGAAAATGTTTCTATATTTGAATGGTCATGTCTCTCATTCTCCAAAGGCCTTCTTAAAAAAAAAAACAAGAGCCGGGAAGAAACAGGGGCCCTTGGTAAGCAGTCTCTCACCCGCCCTGGTATCCCCCAGACCTGAATTCAGTCCAGCTTATGCTCAACCACGTCTTGGACCATCAGGATGCGGAGAAACCCTACTGGCCGTGCTGATGGGGCCCCTGTGGCCCTGAATGCTTTTCTTATTAATTCTAATGATTCAAGGGGCCCATAACTCCGCCACGGCCATACCTTCTGCTACGGGGTAGTAGCACCACGGGACTCTGGTAACCAAGTCGTCAAAGCAGCAGCCCTGCTGTTCACAGGCTTCCCGCGTGACTCCAGGGGGGCCACAATTTTTCCGTTCATGGGGGTCCACTACACAGGTCTCTGGAAGCCGATGGGACAAGAGGTAAAGGTAAGTCATTGGGCCAGATTCTTGGATCAGACTAGACACAGTCCAGCCCAGCTTCCTTCTCCAAGGAGAGCCGCAATAGCCTGGGGAGGCCAGGCAGAATCGGGGCTCAGGCCATGGACAGGAGACGGTTTTCTTATCTCCCGCTGCTCACGCGTGCGCTCAGGAGAAATGCCAAGTCCCCATGGATTGTAAACGAAGTCATGTGCCTGCTCACTCAGGAAGGTCAGCAAATGACCAGGAAGCTGTAGTCGCTGTTTGTCTAAGTATGCCCCGGACCCAGGCCATGGCCTTTCCACTCATTCCTCGTGCAGGCAGAAGTTGGAGGGGGGAAACAGAAGCCGGAAGAATGGGCGCTTTCAAACTGTGCTGCTGACTGCCAGAAGAATGAACCATTCCGTCTTACAAAACTGCAACCAGCAAGCTCCCTGGAAACCCGGATGGTGAGGCTTCACCTCCCCCTGGCTATGCCATCCGGAAGGACCAGCAGCTAGAAAAGGCATCGTGTTTCATGAAGTAGAGGGTCAGCAGGAATGAGGGAAACCCTCAGTGCGAAGGGAATTCCCAAAAGCCACAGGCTTGGACTCGAACTCAGCAATGATGGTGAAGACCGTGCAGGGCCGGACAGGGTTTCCTGCTGTCGTACATAAGGTCATCAACTAGGCTAAACCAAGTAAGGAGGACTTCCTGCAGGAGGAAGTTGAGCAGAGAAGGGTCAGGCACGGGTGGTACAGGCACAGGGAGCAGCACAGCCCCAGGCTCTGGAGACAAAGAGCAGGCTGTGTCCAAGGAAGGTAAGTCCATTAGCAGGAGGGATGTCCAGGTGGTGGAGAGAGGTGCAAGGGAGAGAGCTGAGGACTTTAACAAGGAGGTGAAGAAACTGATCGGAGGTGAGGCTACATGGAGGGGCCTGGGCCCTCTAGCAGGTTTCAGTGGTCAAGATGCAAGATCTCCAGACTCTGAGCTCAGGGGCCAGAGTCTAGAGCTCTAAGAAGTCAAGCTCCTTGGGATCCCTAGTGAACCCTTAACAGAAGGGGAGTCCAGAGCAACTTCCACATCTGACCTGGGGAGTCCGGAGAGCACAGTTAGGAACCAAAGAGTGGTAGGGGGCCGGCTTTCAATGGTATCTGGGTGGTCGGTCCAAAAGAGGCTCAGGAGAGAGGCCCCATGGGGCAGGAGCTGCAGAATCACCCAGTTCATCGCCAAGAAAAAAAAACTGGAAGAGAAGGGGCCAGAAGAGGCAGGTATCGGGAGGGTCGGTATTCCAGGGAACGAAGCCCGTACAGAAGCAAGGAGCACAGGAGAGGCAGGAGGCTGAAGTTGGGAGTAGGGGCAGGGGTCATCAAGCTCACCACAAGCAGGAAATCGTTCTGAGGGAGTTGTGAGATGTCCTTTCCCTAGACTCGAGGGATGACACGTAGCACGTTTGCTTCCTGTTAAATGCAGGAAGGATGCCGGACACAGTGGTCTGCCTGCCCGTGAGCCCACCACCCCAGCTGCTCCCAGCAGTGGGCTGTGATGTCTGTGGCTGGCTTGAAGAGGGACCGAGCTGGACCCATCTGCCTCTAGCTGGTGCCCTCAGTGGGGTAGGGAACTCCCAGAGTCTCCTTGCCCATTCTTGAAAGAAAGGTGCACATTAGCCGGGGCACAGGGCAGGAGGGAAGGTGAAGGGAGCGGGGGCAGTAAAGCTTGGCTCCAGCATGCTCTGTCTCTCATGCTCCCCACAAGGAGCGAGCTGGGGCAGCTCCCTGGGATGGGGAGGGGGCCTTGCTGGAGTAATCAGGTCCCCTCCCAGCTGGTACTCCTCAGCAGACAAGAAAGATCTCCACGCCATGGTTCCGTTGACTACTGGCTCCTGTCTTGCCCGCCATGTATTGTCTCATAATGGAACTGCGTGCAAAGACTTCCATTTGCGGGCTACACTTAGGCTCACTGTTTTTGATATTTCTGTTGTCACAGGATTGCTGATGCTGCGTGACCCATGAGAAATGTCCCCAGGGCCAGAGGACAGGGGCAGGGACAGATGAGTGGGCTGGTGAGTGCTCTAGTCCTGCCTTGTGTAAGGGGCTGGCTGGGGCCCTAGAGAGCATGCGCAGTGGGCCACGCTGGAACTGGAGTGGAGCCGGCAGAGGGGGAAGACAGGCCAGAGGAGAAGGCTGGGAGCAGCAACCTCACACCTGGTTCACAACCCCAAAGCAGTTTCCTCCTCTGGTTTTAAAGGTCACTAGTTCTTCCTCAAAGGGAGCTTTGGTGGTATAATATGTATGCACCAGGCTGGTAACCACAAAGTCAGCAGTTCAAAACCACCAGCCGATCCAAGGGAGAAAGATGAGACTTTCTACTCTCACAAAGAATTACAGTCTCAGAAACTCACCAGGGCCATTCTAGCCTGTTCTGTATGGTAGCATGAGTCGGTATTGACTCGATGGCAGTTCTTCCTCCGCATAATGGGTTATGAAGTGGGCTGCTAACTGCAAGGTCAGGGGTTCAAAACCACCAACCACTCTGAGGGAGGAAGATGAGGCTTTCTGCTTCTCTAAAGATTTACAGCCTGGGAAACCCGCAAGGGCACTCTGTCCTCCAAGGTTGCTTTCCAGCAGAATCAGCTCGATGCCACGAGTGAGTGCTTCCTTGCCAGAGGCTTCTGGGGCCTTCCACACTATTGCTTGCTGTCTCCCCTGACCCCCGCCCACCGTCCTCACTACACCACATCTTGTTCATTACAAGGTAGTTTGAAAGTCACCCGGGGTTCATGAAAGCCATGGCCTAGCTCTTAGCTCTCTTTTTTAACTCTTGTGGAAGTCTGTTTGGAAAGCTTTGAACAAAACCCATTCTTACACCCCCACCCTTGTTTAAAATGTCCCTAAGAATAGCAACAGTTATTTAGTACTCTGGTCATTTGCAAAGCACGTTTCACAAACTTGTTCAAATGTAATGTCCCTAGCACCCACTTAAGGCAGACTACGGCTCCCAGATGAGAGGATGGAGGCATAAACCGGTTCAAAGGAAGCCGCCATGGACTGTCCACCCCACCGGAAGGCGCTCTGGAAGGGCCTGAGCCCCCAGTCCAAGCTGGGCAGCAGGGATAACGAGGGAGCTGATGGGAGGAGTGCCGATGGGAGACGGGGCTTTGTCCCCCAGGATCAAGAGCTCAGGGGTGACTCAGGAGCCCCTCTATGGAAGAGGAGCTTTGATATGCCAGTGTGGACCGGGAATCAATCCATACCTTGGGCTAGGCTTTGGCCAGGGTGTTTGGAAGAGCTACTTTTCTTCCCAAACCGAAGCTTCCCCCTAGGTGTATGACACTTAAGAGCTGTCATAACCTTCTAGCTTTAGTTCAAAAGGCAGCCCTTAACCCAGGTGGTCGACCTTCTCCACGGGACCCTCCCACCCTCGTGCTCTCTCCACCGGCTCTTGTTTTTCCTGTACAGTGGGATAGATTTCCAAATGCTTAGCCCTGGAGGGTGCAAACAATCCATGCGCTTGGCTACCAACAGAAAGGTAGGGGTTCAAGTCAGAGGAAAGATCCGGTGATCTATTAAAAAAAAACAGCCTTCAAAACTCCCATAGAGCCTCAACAACAGCAGCAAATACATAGGTGACCTATGCCATCTCCACAATCTTCACATCTACAGTTTGGTGACATTGATAGTGCTCATCAGAGTGCCCAGCTACCTGAAGCGTTGCCTAATTTCTCCACTGCCCCTAACAGAAGCTCAGCATCCCCTAGCTACTTCTCTGGCTGCCACTAATCAACATTGATCTCTGTAAAAGATGGAGGAACACCAGTGGTGTGCAGCTCTGCGCTGACATGATGGGGCCTCTGTGAGCCAGTGTCTGCCCCAGGCCATTGGAGGTCCCAGTGCCCAGAACATGAAGCAGTGCCGGGGACCGAGTGAGTCCAATGGGGGCCAACCTGGAGCTATGCCTGACCCCCAAAGCAGGACCCAGGGCGAGGTCTGTCTTACCGGCTGGGGCCTGGGCCAGGGTGCTGAGGGCCAGCATGAGGGTGAGGCCCAGGACGCAGATGACCCTGTACTGCATGGTGCCCTTACTTCCCTGCTTTCTCTTCCAAAGAGGCGGCGAGTCAAGATGCGAACCCGTCGGAGCCCTCGAGTTTATACTGCCGTCTCTGTTTGCCCAGAGAGTGTCACATAACATTTGCCTAAGGAGGGCCCGGCATCCTCCACACCGAGTGAGTAACCGGCAGTGACTACAGGGTGTTCCCGACCGTCAGATTGACGAGTGGGCCGAGAGACAGGATTGCCGCGGCTGCATAGTCATCTGGGTTGAGGGAACTGGGGTTCAGAAGGCCCTCGCTTATCCATGGGAGTCTCCTGGGACCACCTTCAGCCAACCCACAGCCCTGTCGGCGAGGTCCTCCCTTCCATGCAAATATCACACTGAGTGCACGGGTGATTCACGCCAGGTTGTGGCCCGAGGAAGTACAGTGGGGTCAACAATGGCTCATGTCCCCTCTCCCACGGCCTCTGGGAGGTGGGGGCAAGATGGAAGAGGTAGAGGGGAGGGGGGCCACCACCTTGAAGAAGCAGCTTCTCCCCCAGAGGGGTCCGGAGGCAACTTTCACATATTCTGAGAACCAGTCTGAAAGCCAGTCAGTAGGATTGTAACCGGCCCCCCTTCCTCCTCTCCTCACCCACAGGACATGGGTGGGCGGGGCTCCAGTCCATCATTCCTACCGTGAGACACTGTCTTGGACTGTCTGGTCCACTAGGCACACCCTTGACAGCCTGACACGTGCTCAGCACTCTGGTATACAGTGAACCCTCGTTTATCGCGGTTAATCGGTTCTAGATCCTACCGTGATAAATGAAATTCCACGAAGTAGGATTCCTTATTTGTAAATCAAATATTTTCGTAGTTAGAGCATAGAGGACATGAAAAAACACCCTTTAGTCACCATTACACTCGTATTACCCAATTTATTAAACGAAAAAGGGAAAATACAGTAAAATGTTTTGGACATTACAATTATCATTTATTATTTATTATATTATTTATGGCATCAAGCGTGTACAGTATGAGCCAATCAGTGGCAGTAATGACAGAGCATGCGCTGTTACGCAAAAACCGCGATAGAGTGAAGCCGCGGAAGTCGAAGCGCGAAGTGGCGAGGGTTCACTGTACAGGAAGCCCGTGTTCTCGTGGTACATGGCAACTATGTTGCAGACAGACCTGTGTGAACACCTTTATTTCTTAATGGTTTTTCCTTCTTTTTGTTGTTCTTTCTCTTATCACAGAGGAATCCTTCTGAGTGTGAGTTGCACAGTGACCTGACTCTGGGATCCTGTCAAAGTGGACACAGGCCATCCTGCACTTGTCAAGGCCCTCGGGACTGAACGACACCGAGGGAACCCTCGCAAGAGCCAGATGCTTCAGTGAAGGACAGCACGTCCACGGTGGTTCACTGGTTGGAAGTAGATCGCCAGCCTTTTCTTCCTTATCTGTCTTAATTTAGAAATCCCAGTAAAACTTGTCCATGAGCTGCACTGGTTGGGGATCAAACCCAGGGCTCCCACATGCAATGCAAGAGTGCTGCTCCCCACACTGACATTGAGACCCATATACAGCCCAGTATGAAAGGCGAAAGCCTGATCAGAGAGGAGAGCCTGTATCCCAAAGGTTGGCAGAAGCTTGCCCGTATATATTGGCAACCCTTGGGGAGATATTTGAGCATACAGTCCAGTGGTGTTTGACCATGAGAACCAAAGGTTCTACTAATAAAATAAAGCTGGCATCTTGGCATTCACATGGGACTCAGAATTGGAAGTGTCATGTAAGCACCTGGAAGATTGTGGCCATCCTCTGGGGACTACCCCAGGGCTTGGACTTGAGGGTGGCCAGCAGGCCCACACAGTGTGGTCTGAGGATTGGCAGCCCAGCATCTCCTGGCATTGTGATAGAAATGCCTCATTCCAAATCTCAAGAGGTAACGTCTGCAAAGCTCCCTGTTGGAACAAGCATTTTAAGCTCTTAGGTACTAACCGAATGGTTGGTGTCTTGAGTCCACCCAAAGGTGCCTTTGATAAAAGACCTATGTTGGAACCCAGGGCGGATGATCCCTTCAGGACCAGTGGTGTGAGTGGCGATACTGGGAGGGTAGAGGGAGAGTGGGTTGGAAAGAGGGAACAGATTACAAGGAACTATATGTGATCTCCTCCTTGGGTGACAGACAACAGAAAAGTGGGTGAAGGGAGACGTCGGACAGGGCAAGATATGACAAAATAATAATTTATAAATTATCAAGGGCTCATGAGGGAGGGGGGAGTGGGGAGGGAGGGGAAAAATGAGGACCTAATGCCAGGGGCTTAAGTGGAGAGGAAATGTGTTGAGAATGATGAGGGCAATGAATGTACAAATGTGCTTTCCACAATTGATGTATGTATGGATTGTGATAAGAGTTGTATGAGCCCCTAATAAAACAATTTTTAAAAAAGACCTGTGTCCTATTTCGGGGGGGAGCCCCCCTATAACTCCATAAACCCTATGGAGTTCAGTTCTGCCTGGCATGCGTGGGTTTGCCAAGAGCTAGAGTTAACCACTAGAGCCGGGTCGTTTTCTTTGGTTTCCCAGATGATTCACGTGCATGTTGAGGTAGCACCCTCGAGCTCTGGAAGTGAAGGAGTTGCCCTGCTGCGGTCTGGGAGATGGGAATGTGAGAACGCATCTATCAAATACACCCCCCTTGTCCATCTTGGGGATGACCAAAGGACACTCGCCTCACTGAAGCCTTAAGAAATACACCGATAAGGGGCCCACCAGCAACTCCAAGAAATCCTATGTTCACACCTTCATAGAGCACAGTTGACCTGGGACCCATCATCCTTCAACTCAAGTGTGGATTGGATTTGCTCAACAGAACATAGCAGCCCTAGATGACTTAGCAAAACACTGGTGTGTCAGAGGTTGGAATTGCAAAAGGTCAGGAGCCTGGCACATGGGTGAGGTTTGTAGACAATTTGAAGTAGAAATGTCCTCTGTAAAGGGAAAGAAGGGAGCCCGTGGGGTGGCCCCAATGGTAAGCTGCTCACCGAAGGGTGTTGCATCCCTTTGGAAGAAAGGCCAGACGATCTACTTCTGAAACGTCAGCCAGGGGCATTTCTATGGGGCACAGTCTAGTCTGACACACATGGGGTTGACCTGAGTGGTAGTTGGCTCAAAAGCAACTGATAATAGATATTGCATCCTGTATTGGGGAAGTCCTAGGAGACCCGTAACACAGACCCCAAGTGAGTTCTCAATAGTCGCATGACAGATAACCCAAGAATTTAGTCACTCAGAACAATGAGCATGTATTGATCCCAGTTTCAGGAGTTCAACGGAAGCTGGGCTGCATTCTCCGGTGTGGGATCTCTAGTAGACTATGACAGCAGGGTTGGCCTGAGTTGAATTGAAATTTCATGAATGTGAAGCAATTTTTTCCCCAAAATTGGTTCATTTAATAAAATAATGGTGTCGGCGTAGGACGAATACCTCCTTCTCACTGTGACCATTCGGTTTATGCCACTGCTGGTTCCCAACCAGTCAGTAGCACAGTCTGACACCTGGCCCCAGACGTAGGGACATTCTCCTGGAGCAGTGGCCAACAGCCGACTGGCACAGAGATGACACCAATGCCTTCTGTCACTGGAGGGCAGTGGCAGATGCGTGGGCTGAGTCTGCATCTGCTTTGAAGCCGGCAGCTGCTGGAAGCAACACCGCTTGTCACTTTGCAGGTGGCGTCTCCACCGTCTGGACTATCTCACAGCACATCGTAGGGCAAGGAAGTTTTAACCATCTCCAAAGAAAGCACTGGTGTCCCCCATGCCCCAGGGCAGAGAGGGAGTTAGCGTCCTGGAATGGTGAGATCATCTGCCGAAGAAGGTTCAGTGGTCAGCTGATGGACTTCAACTCCATGTACACTGAAAGCCAGGGCCAAGAGATGGGACCATTCCTTGCATAAACAAAATGCACACGTCCAAAAACTAAGCAGTGGAAGTCAGAGGAGCTTGTCTTACTGTTAACTGATTTGCTTCCCACGGCCACGCTTTAAGGTGTGTGGATTTGGAGTGCTTTTGCTCATGAGAGGCTCACTTCCACTGGGAAATACCTTCTTGGTTCCATTGCATTGGCAGCCAGAGATTTCCCTCTGGCCATTCTGACCCCTGTTGCACTAAACCAACAATCAGGAAAGTACTGGCAAGAATGATTGGTCTTAATCACCACAGGAAAAGTAGGTGTTCTTACATAATGGTGGCTGGTGGGACAAAGTCCATAACTCAAGAGTCGCTGGCACAATTCTTAGTACCATTCTCCTGCCCAATGTACCAAAGCAACCAGTCACTGCCATCAAGTCAATGCTGAGTCCTGATGGTGTAGTGGGTTAGGAGTTGGATCACTAACTGCAAGGTAAGCAGTTTGAAACCACGAGAGGGATGAGGCTTTCTACTTCCATAAAGGATTGCTGAACCTATAGGGACAACAAGTAGAATAAGGGTTTGGGGGTGGGGTGGGGGGGTACAGAGGGGGAAGGTATAAGGGAGATGATGTCAAAGAGTCCGTATAGAAAAAGAATCTTTGGAAACGGATTGTAGTGGCAATTATACAATTCTGTTTGGCGTGATTGAACTATGGAATGATATATCTGTTAACTCCCAACTAATAAATGTAGCGGGGGGGAAAGAGTTACAGTCTTGGAAATGCATAGGAGAAGTTATACCCTGTCCTAAAGGGTAACTATGAGTATTTTCCAATAGTCCTGGTAAAAGAAAAACTGCAGCAACTGAAAAACTATAAGACGCCTAAGAACTCACTTCCTATAGACAAACAATTACATCCATTTGATGTAATAATAGCTGATATTGGGGTATGAAATAGAGGTGAAATCAACAAGAATAACACACACCAGAACGAGAGAGGCTACAGGTACCGATACTAATTGTTGATGTTGGTTCTAACTCATCGCCACCCTCTGTACAACCCAACCGAACACTGCCCTGCCCTGTGCCATCCTCGCCACTGTTCTCATGGTGGACCCGCTGTTG